TGGAGATTTCTGTCAGGTGCAAAACAAAAATTGTTGTTATTTTTCACAACAACCTTGTTGTTGTGCACAAGGATCTATTTCTTAGTTTAAATTTTATTCATAAAAGAGTGTTGGTATTCCCCGCAACAGCCAATCACTGGAAGGTATTTCTGGAAGCTCGGCCTCCTTATGGACTCAGCACATCGCTCTAGCTCATGACTCTCTGTTTCATCTCTTGTATATACAAACTATGAGCTTTTTTCGATTACTGTTATAATTAATAATATGAGATATAAAAGTTTTTACACAAAATGGCTAAATTCTGCCTTTAAATGGACAGTAATGGCAAGAGGAAAAAAACTAGACAGTATACATTACATTTGAAATTAATAATGGATGAATGGTAATAAACTAGTGTATGTTTGTATGTATATCAGACAAAGTCCATTTAATGGCAGAATTTAGCCATTTTGTGTAAAAACTTTTATATCTCATATTATTAATTATAACAGTAATCGAAAAAAGTCATAGTTTGTATATACACGAGATGAAACAGAGAGCCATGAGCTAGAGCGATGTGTTGAGTCCATAAGGAGGCGGAGCTTCCAGAAATACCTTCCTGTGATTGGCTGTTGCGAGGAATACCAACACTCTTTTATGAATAAAATTTAAACTAAGAAATAGGTCCTTGAGCACAACAACAAGGTTGTTGTGAAAAAGAACAACAATTTCTGTTTTGCACCTGACAGAAATCTCCATCTAACTGAATAATTTACTCGAATAAGAGGGCAGAGCAGTGTATCATTATTTGTCAAGACAATCCCCAATAATAACGTCTCAAGTTAGGTAGCCAGCCCATTTTTATATAACATCTGTTATATCCTGCAATATTTAATTATCACTATATTAATACTTTTAAATACTTTACATTTCTCTTTTTAGGTAGATTAAAGTTGAAGCAGAATGTCATAAGCAAGGATGGTGTGCTGAATAAAGATGATTTATTAAGTGGATGGAGCCTTTAGCTGATCCCTTCCTGTGATTGGCTGTTGAGTGAATGTCAACAAAGAATATCTACCAATGATATGCCATTTATTATGCACCCCATACCATCTTGTGGACGGAGCGTGGAACCTCCTACCCGAGCACAACAACCCGCCTTATGGGTTGCTGTTTGGCTATTTATAGTGCGTTGGAAAAGCAACAGATGGCGTTAGTTGTATTTTGCAGGGTAATTTGTTATAAGTGTAATTTGATGTCAACAGATGGCGTAAGCTGTATCTTATGGCCACTGTTGACCAGCCAGTTGATAGTGTTCTCTTCTGCCGACAGATGGCATAAGCTGTGTTATTATTACTTCCGAATTCCCTTTAAACACTGATCTTCAAATCCCTAGGCTTATGATACGGTTTTATACCATTTATGATAAGTATTAGATAACTGGAGTTACGCAATTACTTTTATTTATCAACTATTCAGGATATCATCATATCACGTCTGGTTAGGACGCACTGCTCCTGATTGATGAAGATTAAGCCACCCAAGAGGTGGCATGGGCATGAATAGCCCGTAAATACTGCTCTCGTAATATTATTCAGGGGGGTGGGGGAACTATCAAGTGAAAGCGCCAAGCCATTATGACTATATAGCACTCCCAAGGGATCAGGATACGGATAATGCCGAAAAAAACATTAAAGTCCACTTCAAGTTCAAGTATGTTTATTGAGACAATAAAAAAATACATCTCAAAGGGATAGAATAGCTTAGGCTATTTCTACCCCCCCCCTCTACTTCAAGTCCCTCAAGGGGCGCACAAATTCAGTGAGTACAAATACACTATATATATATATATATGTATATACTGTAAATACAGTATATATATATATATATATATATATATATATATATATATATATATATATATATATATATATATATATATATATATATATATATATATCAATAAGACTTCTGTATTACATATCAACATGAGATCTTAATGATCCATGGTTAACATGATTTAATAAGGATAATATTGGTAATAACACAAACTATAATTTAAAATCTTTATTACTGTTATTTTGTATTAAGAAGCTTAGGTATACATAGCAATGTGCTGCTACCCTATTCTATATGAAAGATTACGCAGTGTAGATAAAAAACTAGCTATAAGGTCATCTAATACTCCCATCTCACAGGATGGTTAGTCATACATGGAATCAGGGGAGAAAATACCTACCTCAATACAAAAAGCAAATCAACTCTGACTAAACAATAACTTCACGACTTTCACAAGAGGTAAGCACTGAATCATGGAAACATTACATTATAACTGCTCTTACTAGTTTCTACAAGATTCCTCTCAAACAATGTATTTTTTTTAACATGCTTAGGTATACACGGCTGCTTCCCTGTTCTGTATGAAGGACCACACAGTACAGATCAAAAACCAGCTACAAGCTCATCCAACATCCTCACTTCACAGGACGGCCAGTCATACATGGAATAAGGAGAGAACAAAATATTTAAGGCTGATCTATTAGCATCCACTGGCAAAATCTGGGTACAGCACAAGAATATCTTCCAATATTCCTCCTGAGTGTATGAAGTAATTACAGAGCTCAAAGTGCCTCATACCATTTGGTATGAAGTCACTGATAACAGGGCAATCACTGATATAGTGTTGGAGAGTATGTCCTCTCAAGTAAGACTAAAAACATTTTTGTTTTACCCAGATGATTAAAACCCATTGAACCGCCTACCCGCTGAAGCCGTACCTGCCAAAATCCCGCTAGAAAATATCATTAGGACAATTGGCGGGACTTAACAAGCCCCCTGCTTTTTGTCCTCGTCGAGGCCACAAGATAGTTAGTGGCCCTTGGGTCAATTTAGGTAAACATATACGTAAATAAATACCATCGCTTATTAGATGAACTTATAGCTACTTTTTTATCTACACTGTGTAATCTTCCATATAGAATAGGGTAGCAGCACATTTCTGTGTATACCAAAGTTTCTTAATAAAAAAAATCAGTAATAAAGATGTTAAATTATCCTTGTATTATTACCAGTATTATCCTTATTAAATAATGTTAACCATGGATCATTAAGCTCTCAAGTTGATATGCAAGTCATATTTCTTTTGAATCATTCATTAAATTGTGCATCATGTCTTAATTGTTTCACTTCTTTGGATACACTGTACAGTACAAAAAGATTGAGTAAAAATAAACCAGTAATATTTCTTTCATTATATTTTTTATTTAAATAACTGCATCAATATTTTTACAGCTTTGATATCCCCAGAGTCAAACTTAATCACTATGCAAATAAAGGGACCTAGTCTATGTAACTCACTCCCTAGCTGTCTGTCTTCCTAGTTGAAAAGCTGTCATTTTTTGCCCCATTCAAAAACAAAAACAAAAAGTACCCAATTTCATCTTCAGTTTCATACCTTGTGCTTTATTCAAAATTCAATATTTGCCTCACTTTTATTCCTATATTTGACTTATTCTATATTTGCCTCATTGAAAACCAAAACCAAAAAGTGCCTAATTTCATCTTCAGTTTCCTACCTTGTGCTGTAAAATTGCACTGTATCTAGTGCTACCCAATCCCCCAATTTGTATGTACCTAATCCAAGTAAGTAATTATAAAAAGAAGGCACCAAACCGGGAAGGCTAAGTAGCACCATCAAATGTGCGGAATTATCAGAGGGCGCTAAATATCACCAAGGATGCCAATACGAGAACAAAAACGCATAAGGTGAACGATATCAAAAGTATCAGTCACCAAGAATTCTATTGAGGGACAGGTGACCGCGAGGGGTACCTAATCCAAACAACTTTACCATTGTGATTATTGCAGTCTTCTTTTATGTGCTATCAAAATGCTGTATTGTGCCTATTAATCTTTGTTAAATTACAAATCAGTCAATCACAGCTACTGATGTGCTTTAATAAACCTACTAATCTTTATCATCTCATTTTCTTGCCTTGTACCTGTTAACATTTTATAAATTTTGCTAGAATTTACCTTCATAAAATTATCCGTTAGGTTAAGGACCTGCCCGTACTAGTCCTTTTGTATATATATAAATAAAAAGTAATTTATTTGTTACACAGCCAAATTGTTTAACATCTAAGGTCTTGGATCCCCACTTCCCCCTCTTTTTAACAGGTCATAATAGTCCAGTCATAATTGTAGGTTTAAGTATTCAATGAGAGAAGTTTTTACCCTTCTTACCTAACATCATTTGTGCAGTTGGGCATTTGGTGATAGTAAATGTTCCCACCAGCCAGCCACCTTCTCATATTTCATGTTCACTAGTGTTTTAGTTAATAATAACTACCGGTATATCTTGCCATTTACTTGGTTTCAAGTAATTTAAAAGTTTCAAGCAGAGAATGCATATATAACCAACACGAAGGACTTCTCTTCACCAGCTATAATCTTTTGTTTATATTAAAATCGATCCTCCGTGTTATGCAGTAAAGAAAAAATTGAGTAACATCCAGTATACGTAAAGCTACGAGTGGTCGACAGCACACTTAGCTGACGGAGCAAACTTACAAAGGTTTTTCTTCTTAGTGTGGCTACCTGAATACTGATGTAGCCGCTAAGAAAAACATTCAAAAGTACCTTAGTGAATCTGGCCCCCTGATCCTGTTATATGTAGCTTAAACTTAACGACTCCATACTGTGGGGCTTGCAGCATTATATTAACGTTTAACTGCCTTAGCAGCTTTATAATTACTAAAATTCTTCAAATGTTCAGCGACTCCATACTGTGGGGCTTGCATTATATTAACGTTTAACTGCCTTAGCAGTTTTATAATTACTAAAATTCTTCAAATGTTCAGCTCTATCTTGAAACTCAAGCACCTAAATTTACAATGTCATTTCAATTATTCCCACAAATTGTATGAAGCGTATCACAAAATTTCTTTAAACTATTACAAACCCCATTCTTCAAAATTTATTGAACTCATTTAAACTAGGGGTTTAGGAAAACAAATTTCTAATAATGACAATTTAATACAAGCTGTAAATAAAAAGAATCCATAGATTAACACAAACAGGAATGTCGTACAGAAAAGAACTACATGGTAGTTAACTGAAGTGGAATGAAATGCAGTTTCATTGGAATCTTATGATTACACTGAAAATAATACTGAAGTTGGTAGACAACCTACCAATAGGACTGCAAAGATCGCAAGACTGTTCAGTTTAATCATAATCTCCTTCAACCTCACCTTCCTCTTCAAATTCTGCTTCATCATCAGCAGTAGCTTCTTGGTATTGTTGATATTCCGAAACAAGATCATTCATGTTAGATTCTGCTTCTGTGAATTCCATTTCATCCATACCTTCCCCAGTATACCAATGAAGGAAAGCTTTTCGCCTGAACATAGCAGTGAACTGTTCACTTACACGCTTGAACAATTCCTGGATGGCGGTAGAATTACCAATGAAGGTAGAAGACATCTTCAGACCCCGTGGTGGAATGTCACAGACAGCAGTTTTAACGTTGTTAGGAATCCATTCTACAAAGAATGAAGAGTTCTTATTCTGGATATTGTACATCTGATCATCAACTTCCCTCATCGACATTCGTCCGCGGAAAATTGCAGCAACAGTAAGGTAACGGCCATGTCTTGGATCACAGGCTGCCATCATATTTTTGGCATCAAACATTTGCTGTGTGAGCTCTGGAACTGTGAGAGCACGATATTGCTGTGATCCACGAGCAGTCAAAGGGGCAAACCCAGGCATGAAGAAGTGGAGTCGAGGGAATGGTACCATGTTAACAGCAAGTTTTCGAAGATCGGCATTCAGCTGGCCAGGAAACCGTAGACAAGTAGTAACCCCAGACATTGTGAGGGAAACTAGATGATTCAGGTCTCCATAAGTAGGATTTTGCAATTTCAGTGTTCTGAAGCAGATATCATAAAGGGCCTCGTTGTCAATGCAGTAAGTCTCATCTGTGTTTTCAACTAGCTGATGAATGGACAGTGTAGCATTGTAAGGTTCCACCACAGTGTCTGAAACCTGGGGAAAAATATTTTTAATTAGTTTTATTAATTACAGATCCAGGATCTGAGAGACTATAGAAACAAAAGAATTTCTATGGAATATATAAAAATATTACAGCATGCCAAAATATTTGAATAGCATAATCAAAGTTTAAGAACTTTTTATTTCTGTGTTCCTTTGATAGCCATGTAGGGTTTTAATATATTTTGGTATAGATATTTTTCAAACAATTTAATATGCAAGTTTAAAGCTACACTGTAGCTATAGTAAGTAATTTTTAATGTAAAAATGTGGAAATGATGGACATGTCTAGCTGGCCAACGAAGAGAGCAGGTAAATTATATGTAAAAATCTTTACACACGTACAGTATAACAACAAAGATCTCATAAATAAAGATTTCAAATTCCATATTTATGCAATCATTAATTTCATGCGAAGGTTAGGCAAATTCAAGCGGCCGTGGTTGAATAATTAAAAATTGCCTCGTATAAGCCAATAGACCCGTAGTTTACTTTATCCTTATGTTTATTCAAGTAGAGAAGTGTGTAAAGCCTCCATCAGCGGCCCACGAGGTATTGTATGTTTTAAAGTTCCACTCAAGAGAAGCATTTGAACAATTAAATATCAATGGTTAAAATTACTACATGCAAATTCAGACTAAGCAGTACAACCAGCAATACAAACCCTAAGCTATTTACTTTTAATAACCATATATGCATAATGAAACAAAATTTACTACAGCATTTACTTTTCAAAACTAAAAAAAAAACTTGCCTTAGGAGAGGGCACAACTGAGAAAGTAACCATGATTCTATCTGGGAATTCTTCACGGATTTTTGAGACTAGGAGTGTGCCCATGCCTGAACCAGTACCACCACCCAGAGAATGAGTGAGCTGAAATCCTTGCAAACAGTCGCACTTTTCAGACTCCTTTCTGACGACATCTAATACAGAATCCACCAACTCTGCACCTTCTGTGTAGTGACCCTTTGCCCAGTTATTTCCGGCACCACTTTGACCTGCAAAGAATTTAAAAATTATGTGTAATGCAGTTTTAAATTAACATTTAATATACAAATTGAAAGATTAATATATTACATGAACAGAATGCATTCTAATTGCAGACCAGACAGGATTCACTTATAAAACCAAGGGAAGGGAATTAGCCTAATTGGCTAATTAATTGACATAGCAGAATTAGCCTAATTGGATCAATGATCTAAAACCCATGATTTTTTTTCCAATTTTTTATTTACTTTATATAGTAATGCATTAAAACTTTGAGATGTACTGGTTCAGACTCACAACCTTAATAGTCTATGGGCATTATATGCAAATAATGAGCAGTATCAGCTTGTCTGGCTTCAAGACTTCAAAATTATTAGAAAAAGCAAAGCGTATTTGACTTTATATAAAATTTGAGAAATACAAAATTCCTTGGGAAGTCTGCTCATTTTATTATATTTTATACATTTGGAACATGTAGTCGGGTACCAGGTTACTTTAACTATTTTTAACAATTTGTGGGTAGACTTCATATATGGTAGTCAGTAGAAATTTGGTACAAGTAATCACATACTAGACATAATTTGTTATTTGAACTGAATTAATAGCTCAATATGTTCTAATACACTCATTTCTTGTTAAGTTTAGAGTTTCCACCACTTCATACTCCAATTAATGACCATAATCATTTCCTTCATATTTTCATTGGTTTCAAAGCGTGTGCTGCCCCCATTCTATTACCTCGCCTTTAAACACACAGTATATCTAAGCTTAATATTATCTTTGATCTATTTTCTTGTGCTTTACTAGAAGTGGATTACATGCTGGAGCTACATAGCCTAGGACCAGCCAAATGTAACCCATATTGTATTTTGAAGGCAAGTTGGGGAGGAGGAGGGGGGGGGGGGCCCACTTGCCTGGTCCATCAGGGGAAAATTACTTTTAGTAATTGGGCATGTGGAAGGATTGGGGATTCGAACTATATGAACACTACTGGTACACCATGGGCAAAAACTAGAAACCTTGTTAGACTTTGAGGATCTCATAACCTAATGTAAAATGCAATGGTCAACCATCCAGTTAATAGGTCCAAATGGAGCTTAATCCAATTAACCAACATCAAAGGGGCAGGAGTTCATATGGTTGGTGGCTGGAGGGTGGCAAAAATAAAATTAGTAGCATTAACGAAGCACGGTTTTCCTTTTACAAGAACTGATAGAATACAAAATAAACTTACCAAATACGAAACTGTCAGGTTTGAAAAGCTGACCGTGAGGCCCGGCCCGAACACTATCCATTGTGCCTGGTTCCAGGTCAACCAGGACAGCACGTGGCACATACTTCCCCTGATTGCCCTCATTGTAGTACACATTTATACGTTCCAACTGAAGGTCCATCAGTTCTTTCTCAACACCAGCAGTGTATTCCCCTGTTGGCTGAATGCCATGTTCATCACTGATGATTTCCCAGAACTGAAATCAAATAAAAGCCATTAAAACAAGTGACTTGCCAGGCAATTTAGCAAGTCCAAAAGTTTTCTAATCCAAACACTGAAAATATTTGTCTGGAACTGGTGTATAATACATTAACATTACCAACTATAGATGCAAGTACATGTAAATGCCAAGTTTAACGGAAGAAGAAATTCGGTTATTTTTCCAATAAAGCATTGAAGGGAAGAGAAAATTTAACCCTGCCTGAAGCCAGACAGGGAGGGTTAGTCAATTGTAGACAAATTAGCCTTTCCACTTAAAACTACAGGAAGGCAGCAAATTGATAATGCAAGTAACAATTTCTCAACTTGCTTCAATCTAACTATTCCTACTTAAACAAGGCTAAAAATCAATTTACAATCTGAACACACATTAAACACCTGCTTAAATGAATAGTTCTTGCTCTGCATATACTGAAAAAATCCTTTACCTTAGAAAAATGCTCAAATTCAAAGAATTATGCCATTTCCTGCAAGCAGGAGCAGTGTTAATTGAAAAATACACCGAGAAATTAAGAAAAGAACCAATAGTTAATATCTTGATAGTCCAATGACCCTCCACCCACACCTTTCCTCTGAACATCTTCAATTTTTGGGAGAGGGGAGGTGAATTACTTATAAAAGTCCCAGAGACCATACCAACATCAGACTGCAAAGGGAAAGTTAGCGAATGCTACAAGTGGATAACGTGAGGAGCAAAACCAATTGGACTAGTCGGAACAGTGACTGCTTCGCTTATTGCGGGTCGGTGTTCAATCCCCGATGGTGCAAGTGGTTGAGCCATGTTCTTTCCCACCTTCTTATCCCAAATCCTTCTCAATATCCTTTCCAAGTTCTATGTAGTCATACTGGCTTAGTGCTCTATCCTCAATTATCTTACCTTGAGACAACCAAAAGGAATTTGAGTATCCACTAAGGAAACCTAACCAACCATAGAGTATACCACCTTGAAAGTCCTTGTAGGTGCTACATTTCTCTTTCAGTCGACCTCCTGCCCCAGGCTGACCTGTGAGACCATCCACCACCTCTCCCATACCAAGAGTTATTCAACAGTGGGTACTAACACCATAGAGTTTATTACTCAACCTGAATGAGTCAATTTCAGGAGTTGCTAAAATTGATAGAAGAATAATTCCAGAGACCTGGAACTTCAAGAACAAGAGGCCATAGATTTAAACTAAACAAAGATGCCGAAGAAATATAAGAAAATTCACTTTCGCAAACAGAGTGGTAGACAGTTGGAAAAAGTTAGGTCAGGTGGTGGTGGAGGCCAAAACCGTTAGTACTGAAATTTCAAAGCGTTACATGACAGTGCTGGGAAGATGGGACACCACAAGCATAGCTCTCATCCTGTAACTACACTTGGGTAATTACAAGTCACAATTATATTAATACAAGTTAGGCACCAAAACCAAACACTGGATCACCACTGTTGATTAGGAAGCAATTGTGTAAATATAGAGCAAGCTAGAAAGTGAAATGCTGAAACCTTCTCTAAAACCTAACCAAATTCAGAATGCCATTAAAAATTTATGTACAATTGCACAATAAGCCTCTTTAATGATTGTTACAATTTATACAAAAATAGCAAATTATGAAATTGAAAACTTAAAATTTAGATACAAAGTCAGTTACAAGGCAGTCACATTATTACTTAAATTAAGCAACTGCTATGGGCCAAGCCATACTAGTTTACCTTAGGGTAATTAAGTTGTATTACTCCTATTTGACCACCACACCAGAGTCCACCAGAGAACCTAGGATAAACATGGTTACTTAACTGCCACAATATAGCTAGTAAAAAATAATTTTTTAGTACTTGACAAATTCAATTTGCAAAGCACAATACTGTATATCCATAAACTTAGTTTACCATTAACCGTTTTTGAAACCTCTCAACAGGATTCCAGGACAACCCGTCACCATTTTAAAAAATTTTGCTCAACTAAACCCATAATGCCGTTTGCTACAAAAACTCCTTGTTTAAACAAAAAGACTGAGGCAAGATATTTAATAGCCTTACCAGATATCAATGGGATGATTTTGAAAGGGTCAAAACTGAATTTAAAAAATGTCATGATTAGTAGTAACGTTCAGAAACAACTTGAGGCACACATACTGAACAAATTTGACTGTTGGTCACCAACTCTAAAACAAGCAAATTTGTGCTCATTCCACTATCTTATAAACCTCAACATATTACTTTGCTAGCAGATCTGGTTCTCTCCCTTCCCATATATCTTGAGCTAATTACTTACTAGTTTATCTAAGAACACTACTTACCAATCAATTTAGAACCACATCCTCAACTACTGCTGGGTTAAGAATGGTTAGAGGGCACCAGGCCCTGCCCACAGCCCTGGCACCAGGCCCTGCCCACAGCCCTGGCACCAGGCCCTGCCCACAGCCCTGGCACCAGGCCCTGCCCACAGCCCTGGCCCTGCCCACAGCCCTGGCACCAGGCCCTGCCCACAGCCCTGGCCCCAGGCCCTGGCACCAGGCCCTGCCCACAGCCCTGGCACCAGCCCTCATAGCTCCAGGCTTGTGTTCACCACCACCACACCATAACCATCTTAATCGCCTCATGGTTAACTGTTCATTATAACACCACAAAGATCCAGTTGAGCAAACAAGTTCTGACAGGAAACAAAACGGCAGGTCTTATGGGCGTGTGGCAGTGGCGACGACTGGGGGGTGGCAGGTGGGGTGTGGCAGACGGCAGCAGCTGGGCGTGGCAGGTGGCGGCGGCAGCTGGTGTCAGCGTGTATTGATTGATCAAGCGGCGCCGCAACACGTTGCCCGGGGACACCACTCACCCCCTCCCCCCGTCGCCAGTCACGGGCACGGCCGCCAGGTGCCCCTCACAGGGCAGCGTCCCTCACAGGGGAGCGTCCCTCACAGGGCAGCGTCCCTCACAGGGCAGCGTCCCTCACAGAGGAGTGTCCGTGAGTGTCCCTCACAGGAGAGAGGGAGGGCGGGAGAGAGCGGCCACACACCAAGACACAGAGGGAGGCGGGAACAGGAAGCGGCGGCGTGACCGGCCCCACACACCACCAACCTCTCCACAACGCCCTACACCACCATCACCCACCTATACAACACCCACCACTAAATACAGCCCCAGCAACACGGTACAGACACACCGGCATGACCGGATACAGTACTGTATCCTCTAAGACAAAGAGCAGCTGGGCGCGGGACTCCCCAAGACGCTTACTAACTACCGGCCCTCACAACCTGTGGGAAACATCAACAAATCTGAGATGATTTGCGAGATGTTGGGTGTGGGGAGGGCAAGACTTACCTTGGTGCCAATCTGGTTGCCACACTGGCCTGTCTGGATGTGAACAATTTCCCTCATGGTCGGAGCGCGGTGGTGTGTCCTCTCTCTACAGTGTCGGCCGGGTAACTGAAGGCTTCAACCATCGAGCGGAGGGCGGCGACCGTTAAGTCAAATCAAACTCTAAACAATACTTAAAACTATTTATTCGTTGAATTCTACCAACTTATAGCATAAAATTATTTGACATTTTCATTTACAAAGCAAATAGTATTTATTTATATGGTATAAACGTTGCTACATAACAACATTATAGTTTTCTTCATAAAATTGGCGGGAACATCGAGTGAACAATAGATATATGTTTTGTTCTGTCTGAAGACAATACCAACCTACATGGCTTATGTCCCTTTAAAGACCAATATGTCACAACTCACCATATTATGATTGATAATAACTCTACCAGATAACCCATATATACACACACGACAGTAATAATTCATAGTATATAAATAATGCCACTAGGAATGTTGAACCAAGCCAACATGAAAATACTATGTTGCATGCAATGGCAACTCCTCAAACGCTCACATTGATTTTATAAATAATTTATTTGTAACAGCAGACGTATATACTGGCGTGGAGCTGGATATGTCAGCGCCCGTTTAAGTTCAAGATATAAATATAACAGTAGGTCGAGCTACGTCTTAACTCCACATCTAGTATGGTTTTTAAGTCACATATATAACTTATATATACTTTAAATGAATAAAAAGTTAAATATATGTGTTGTCTTCAGTTTAAGGCCGACGTCTTGAACTCAACAGGATCCAACACCTGAGTTAGAATAAAATTATGACGTCACATCTTACGCATTACCATAGCTATAACAAAATAAATATTATTTTGTTTTTAAATATATAACCCAAATTTATATTTAAGTTATATTTATATAACAAATAATTTTGTGTTATATAAATATTAAAAATAACCCTTATTTTAGTTAGGTTGGGATATAATCTATGTTATTGAATATGATAGAGGATGAGATCAATGATTCTAGCACAAATTTTCCCTATATTTCTTGCGTTCTTCTTTATTAGAGAAAGATTAAGTTGAACAATTAACTCTTCAAAGTTCAGTTCTAGTTTTGTGTGGCCTAGCTGACACTAAGAGAAATGTTTCGTTGATCTTGTCAACATTTTCAAAGGCAGAAGTGAAATGTAAGCACGCTAACACAAGTATAATATTATATTATATATATATATATATATATATATATATATATATATATATATATATATATATATATATATATATATACACACACATTCACAAGAAGGTACATTGGGTTTATGACAGTACAAAGCATTGATGTGTTTACATTCTTGTAAAGCCATTAACAAGCATAACTTTTCGGGTAGAAACGTTCTATATACTACTTATATACTATAAGTACTATCCTCCTGAAATGATAGTACTTATTGGTACTTTGGACCAAATAGTTACTATATGTATAGTGATGGACCACCAGTAAAAAAAAAAAATGGTACTATAGTCAGGAAATAAAGCTTAAAACTAAGCTTATATATTGTTTAAATATTATATATGTACTGTGGTGATGACAGCATACATATGTACTGTGATGACAACACCACACATATGTACTGTGATCACAGCACCACACATATGTACTGTGATCACAGCACCACACATATGTACTGTGATGACAACACCACACATATGTACTGTGATGACAACACCACACATATGTACTGTGATGACAACACCACACATATGTACCGTGATGACAACACCACACATATGTACTGTGATGACAACACCACACATATGTACTGTGATGACACCACACATATGTACTGTGATGACACCACACATATGTACTGTGATCACAACACCACATATGTACTGTGATCACAACACCACACATATGTACTGTGATCACAACACTATGGACCATTATCAAGTGGTGTGAGAGAGAGAGAGAGAGAGAGAGAGAGAGAGAGAGAGAGAGAGAGAGAGAGAGAGAGAGAGAGAGAGAGAGAGAGAGAGAGAGAGAGAGAGAGAGAGAGAGAGAGAGAGAGAGAGAGAGAGAGAGAGAGAGAGAGAGACGAAAGATGGGATGAATGAAAGAGAACGATGAAGATAAGAATAGTGAAAGGTAAGAATAAAGTGAAAGGTAAAAATAAGATGAAAGAAAATAATAACAGAAAAAAGGTAAGAATAAAGAGAATCAGGTAGAGGAAAGATTAGAAGGGAAGGAAAGAGGGAAGAATAGGAAAAAGGGTAAAAAATAAGAAAAAAGTTAGAACAAATAGAAAGGTAAACAATACGTAACAGAAGACTGCAAGAAGCCTAATGCAAAAACAACAAATCCCGTACCGCAAGAGGAAGGAAGACAGGAAAGAGAGCCTAGCGGGAATGAGCTAAGTCAGCTCACGTTTGTTAAGAAGGTTGGATCATTTAACTATGTACTCAGTAAGTCAAGAGTGAGCAACAACAAAGCCAGGACTAAGGTTCACGCAAGATATGTTGTGGAACACTGCACCCTATTAGTCGCGCCGGCGTCTGTGAAGAATTGAAAGATAAATATAATTTTAGAACAGCAATCTATAGGATGATTTAGAGTGCCTAACATGAGAGAAGAGAACATTGTGTATGTGCACACTTAACTCCGTGAGTCACCACTGACATACACACACGGCAAAGTGTATATAACACAATAACAAAAATAAACGAGGAGACACATTAGGGTCTAAAACCTGTAACGGTATAAACATTATAACGTCACAGTGACGTCACGCACCTCGTCCACGCCATATATACACAAAACACAACATTTTATCTCTTTATTATCATTGGATTAGGTTAGCTTAGGCTCGGTTTGGATTGGTTATGACAAGTTAAAAAGGTAGCGATGACGTTGAAGGTTACATGCGCTTCTCAGGTCTTGGACCCTACTCGGAGAGGAAGCTAGACTGCCACCCCTGGCGTGTCGATCATGGACCCCCCCCACCCCCCCACCCCTGGCGGCGAGGGCGTGGCCGTCCACGTGCTTTATCCTGAGTCACCCGGGGGTACTGTGAGTCACCTGGAGGTACTGTGAGTCACCTGGAGGTACTGTGAGTCACCCGGGGGAACTGAGTCACCTGGAGGTACTGTGAGTCACCCGGGGGTACTGTGAGTCACCTGGAGGTACTGTGAGTCATCTGGGGGTACTGTGAGTCACCTAGAGGTACTGTGAGTCATCTGGGGGTACTGTAAGTCACTTGGGGGTACTGTGAGTCACCTGGGGTACTGTGAGTCACCCGGGGGTACTGTGAGTCACCTAGGGTACTGTGAGTCACCTGGGGTACTGTGAGTCACCTGGGGGTACTGTGAGTCACCTGGGGGTACTGTGAGTCACCTGGGGTACTGTGAGTCACCTGGGGTACTATGAGTCACCTGGGGGTACTGTGAGTCACCTGGGGGTACTGTGAGTCACCTGGGGGTACTGTGAGTCACCTGGGGTACTATGAGTCACCTGGGGGTACTGTGAGTCACCTGGGGGTACTGTGAGTCACCCGGGGGTACTGTGAGTCACCTGGGGGTACTGTGAGTCACCTGGGGGTACTGTGAGTCACCTGGGGGTACTGTGAGTCACCTGGGGGTACTGTGAGTCTCCTGGGGGTACTGTGAGTCACCTGGGGGTACTGTGAGTCACCTGGGGGTACTGTGAGTCACCTGGGGTACTGTGAGTCACCTGGGGGTACTGTGAGTCACCTGGGGGTACTGTGAGTCACCTGGGGGTACTGTGAGTCACCCGGGGGTACTGTGAGTCACCTGGGGGTACTGTGAGTCACCTGGGGGTACTGTGAGTCACCTGGGGGTACTGTGAGTCACCTGGGGGTACTGTGAGTCACCTGGGGGTACTGTGAGTCACCTGGGGGTACTGTGAGTCACCTGGGGGTACTGTGAGTCACCTGGGGGTACTGTGAGTCACCTGGGGGTACTGTGAGTCATGTAGTGAATGTGTGAGTCATGTAGAGAATGTGTGAGTCATGTAGAGAATGTGTGAGTCATGTAGAGAATGTGTGAGTCATGTAGAGAATGTGTGAGTCATGTAGAGGATGTGTGAGTCATGTAGAGAATGTGTGAGTCATGTAGAGGATGTGTGATCCCGTCTCTGAACCTTTAAATGACTGGAGTATAGAACTCTGGTGTCTACTGGTCTCTGTTAAATCTACATTTAAGGATGTGTATGGAGTCTGCCTCCACCACTACACAGTCTGTGTATGGAGTCTGCCTCCACCACTACACAGTCTGTGTATGGAGTCTGCCTCCACCACTACACAGTCTGTGTATGGAGTCTGCCTTCACCACTACACAGTCTGTGTATGGAGTCTGCCTCCACCACTACACAGTCTGAGGTATGGAGTCTGCCTCACTCCACAGTCTGTGTATGGAGTCATGCCTCCACCACTTCACAGTCTGTGTATGGAGTCTGCCTCCACCACTACACAGTCTGTGTATGGAGTCTGCCTCCACCACTACACAGTCTATGGAGTCTGTCTCCACCACTACACAGTCTGTGTATGGAGTCTGCCTCCACCACTACACAGTCTGTGTATGGAGTCTGCCTCCACCACTACACAGTCTGTGTATGGAGTCTGTCTCCACCACTCCACAGTCTGTGTATGGAGTCAGCCTCCACCACTCCACAGTCTATATATGGAGTCAGCCTCCACCACTCCACAGTCTATATATGGAGTCAGCCTCCACCACAACACAGTCTATATATGGAGTCAGCCTCCACCACTCCACAGTCTATATATGGAGTCAGCCTCCACCACTACACAGTCTGTGTATGGAGTCTGCCTCCACCACTACACAGTCTGTGTATGGAGTCTGCCTCCACCACTACACAGTCTGTGTATTTAGTCTGTCTCCACCACTACACAGTCTGTGTATGGAGTCTGCCTCCACCACTACACAGTCTGTGTATGGAGTCTGCCTCCACCACTCCACAGTCTGTGTACGGAGTCTGCCTCCACCACTCCACAGTCTGTGTATGGAGTCTGCAACAAACTGTCTATTTCTGCCCTGTCTATTCCTCTGAGAATTTGTGTATGTGGTGATCCTGGAAGGTGTCGAGTCATTTGGTGGGTAA